AAATGGTCTAATAAACGCTATGGGATATTACTTAGCAATCAAAACAAGAATACTTAGAAGACACATGTTTACTGACCAGAAAAGTTGCCCCTAGGAAAAGGAGATGTCAGAGATAAAGGTACAAATCTGGGAGAACACAGGTGAGGGTTAAAGCCCCAGGAATGGATGGGGTCAACCAGGGACTCTGCAAGGTGTCAGGGCCAACCTCTACTGAGGAAAGCCAGCAAGGAGGCAAAGGAAGAGTTGCCAGTGAAATAAGAGAACAATCCCAAGAATCGGAAAAGAAGAGGCAGAAGTCAAGTGACTAATGTCCCCTGGATTTTGCCACATAAAGATGGCTTAACTCAGGTGGATTCCGTGCAGTGGTCAGTGGAATAATTTGTAGAGCATGAAGGGGACAAGGGTCAGAGATCATGTGTACAGGCAATTTTTCTAAGAGTGACCATGAAAACACAGAAATAGGATGGTGGAACATAAGGTCAAGGGCGACTATTTGATTATCTGAAGATGGGCATGTTGGACCAGGTATGAATGCTAGCAGACATGGTTCAGTGGAGAAGAGACTGAGGGTGCCGGAGAGCAGGGGTACCTGAAGGAGGGAGGCGAGAGGGGACAGAGTCCAGAGCACACTGGCTTTGGACACGAGGAGGAACAATCCACCATCACAGAAGAGAGCGGACAAAGAGATATTCACACACCAGCGCCTTTGCAGATTGAATGGTAGGAAGATGTGCTATTTCCATCTGATGGCTTCCATCCTCTCAGGATGGGAAATGTAAGGATTCTCTGAGTGTGAGCAGCCATGCCTCCTGGGGAAATGGCACGAGCGAGGGAGAGTGTTGCTGTCTGAAACTGAAATGAAACGAGTCTGCTTCTGCTCCAGCCTCGCCTTCAGTGATCATCCAGCTATTCTGGTGTAAGGACAGACAGGATGGACAGTCAGGTTCAAGCTGGCTTCAGCATCTCTCGCTTGAGTGCAAGGCAGAGATCAGGGCGAGGGAGTGGGAGGCTTCAGTGAAGGACCACAGGCCTGACCTGGGCAGAGGGCGGGCCAAGGAGGCGGGGAGGTGATCCTGCGACCATCGGGCTGACATTTCGGCGAGCTCGCAGCATCACGGGGCTCTAACTCGTGAACGGCATGCACAATCAGTGAAAGATCAGGGAAGGCATGTTAGTGGAAGTAGCATTTATGAAAACCCGTGACAAGAGGAAAAATAAGGTGACCTTGGTACCGGGAAATTTTTTAGTATGCAAAAGAGCAGCCTTGATGGTATAACTCATCCTTGGTTGCTGTGAATGAACCAACAGGTCTGGAGTCTATTCATTTTAAATAACTTTAACTCACCTCCTCCTGCAAACAGTGCTGTCTGACCCCATATACTTAAAGAAGTAAACTGGGAAAGATAGAGGCCAGGCAGAGGTCTGATTCCTGAGGCACCAAAGAGGATTTAACAGGGCAGACCTCATGCTTCTGTCCATCGTTAGCAGCAAGCCGGAAGTATAGCTCCATGGTTTTACAAGGCCCTAAAACACTGTGAGCCCATTCCTCCCCCCTTCCTCTTGCACCTCAGCTGAGGCATCTGCCGGCCTCCCTCCCTGCCACCTCACCAGGCGCAACTTGGACAGAATCACACCCATCCAAAGACACCTCCTGGCCACAGAAATACAGTCCAGGAAACCTCAGCACTTTTTGCTGTGACATCCCTCGGCTTTCCTGCTACATCTTGCTTCCACGAGACATTTTTAGACTCCAGTTTTTTACCTTTTCTATATAAGATATATGGAACAGGCAGAATTAGGCCAGAGCCCGTGTAGTCAGAAAGGAATGTGGGTGGAGATGTGGGTCTCAGCCATTTATTTCTTCCTCTGTATATTCTCTCTTATGTGGTCCTCAAGTTTGTTTTTCTGTCAAAGGAAAACATGCCCACTATGGGCAATTTTGAAAATACAGGCGAGGGGCGCCTGGGTGGCTCAGTCGTTAAGCATCTGCCTTCGGCTAAGGTCATGATCCCAGGGTCCTGGGATCGGGGTCCTGGGATCGAGCTCCGCATTGGGCTCCCTGTTCGGCAGGAAGCCTGCTTCTCCCTCTCCCACTCCCACTGCTTGTGTTCCCTCTCTCGCTGTGTCTCTGTCAAATAAATAAATAAAATCTTAAAAAAAAAAAAAAAGAAAGAAAATATAGGCGAATTTAGAAAAGTAACAGATAATCCCATAATTATAATTAATTACATAATTATATTCTGAAATCAGTCACAATTAATATATGGACACTTATATTTTATATTTATATATGAATAATTAATTATAATTAATAATATAATTATTTATATTATATTAATTATAAGGATAACAGAGAGGCACCTGGGTGGCTCAGTCATTAAGCGTCTGCCTTCGGCTCAGGTCATGATCCCAGGGTCCTGAGATCGAGCCCCGCATCGGGCTCCCTGCTCTGCAGGAGGCCTGCTTCTCCCTCTCCCACCCCCCTGATTGTGTTCCCTCTCTCACTGTGTCTCTCTCTGTCAAATAAATAAATAAAATCTTAAAAAAAAAAAAAAAAGGATAACTAACAGAATTCTATATGCTACGGTGATTATTCCATAAGCCAGAGTCAACCACTGCCAGAATCTGAGTTTAGACCTTTCAGTATATACATGCTTTAACATTTAGTAACGACTATTTCCCTAAGTGATATTGAAAGTTCCTTGTAAGCATTCTTTACCGGTCTCCCCAAATCCAGCCCTCAGGTTCCCCTCCTAGGATGCCATGGGATTCTGCTTTTGCCGGTTTTCAGAAGCTCTTGGTCCTGCTCTGGAATTGGAACACTTCCTGCCTTGCTGTCCAGCTGGGAAGTGGACATGGTGTGGGCATGAGTCGGGGCCAGGATGAGAAGACAGGCATGTGGACGCTCAAGCGAGGAAGAAAGAGTGTGAAGAATACGGGCCCACGAACCTTGCCAATAGATTGCCCCAATATGAGGGACAAGAGAACACAATATGGAAACAACTGATGCACTGAGAACAACAATTAAGCTGTGGCTTATGATCCTTATCAACAAAGCCTCTGATGCTGGACAGGCCCCACTTTTCCTTCTGGACTCTCTTCGTCCTTCCGGATCCAGCTTGACTATGACATGTCCCTTGACTGGTGGCACACAGTGAGATATAATTTCTGAACTCCTTTAGCATTGTTGCACCCTTCCACCACGGAAGACAGTTTTTGACATTTCCATGCTTCTTTTCCATTTTATAGACACTACCAAACACCGAGCGTAGAACACAGTCGGATCTTTCATAAGTACTATGTAATTACTTGGATAAATCCATCAGGAACATTTTTTTCCAGGTATTTGAAACATTTCACTATTCACTAATTTTATATTTCATCCAGGCTGCAAGCATTGACTCAAATGCTTCCACTGGACCAGACATCATCACTTCTTTTAATTTCCCAAAATTCTAAAGTCAGATCATTCAGCTGGAACAAAAGGAATATAAGGCAGCAAAGGGAAGCCTCATGCTCTATTTGGTGACCAACTGCTCCCTGAACCTCCCTGAGTCCTGTCACTCTGTCCTCTGTGATTTTGCCCAGGCTCTGCAGGTGCCTTCCAGCAGGTGTGTTCACTCTGCCTAATAAGGACCCAGGTTCCTTACAGAAATGGTGCAGAGGGCTTCCTCTGCAGAGGTACGGGAACGAGAAATAATGACATTCTGCTAGTGCAAACAGGAGGGGCAACACGAAAGCCTGCCAAGAGTGCTCTGCTGCAGACATTTCACCAAGATAATAACCTCAAGATTTCAGGGATTAAAACAAACAAACAAAAAATCCTATTCTCATAATTCCTAAATATGCTGCACACACCCAATTTTTGTTAAAGAGTTAATTTTCCAACTTACAAACTGATCAATGAATTCCTTTTGGAATTAAAATTGTCCAGCAAGCCCAGTGCATGCCTCTTCTGGGTATGGTGAAGAGTAAGTAAGGCATTTTCATTTTCATTCATCATAGATATTTCACTCCTATATACCAACCCCCACAAAAGACAAAAGAAAGGTAACGATTTTCTCTTTCTCAATTAGCATTATTTTTCACTCTCCTTTAGTGCAAAACTCAAGATGCATTCAAACGTGTTCCCTTCACAATGTTACTTTAAATGGAACATTGTAATGCCCTTGGCCAACAAAACCCTCACCCTAAGGGGAAAGCATTTTCTACTACTGTCATCTGTCACTTTAAGACAATGACATACATGTACAGAAGTTTTCACAAGTGCCACATGTATATCCAGCAAGCCTTTTTTGCTATAAATATGTCTCCTTCTTCATGATTACCATCCGGAGAAGGTTCAGAGGCAGCTTTTATCTAGCTCGGAAAATTGTTAAAAAATCGGGCATTGAAGAAAGCCTTTCTCGACTCATCAGAAAGCCAGTGACAAACTATTTTTCACCACACCAGTATCAGTGTAGAGCATCTGGTACAGATGCCACTCGAGTCCCTGAACACTTCAAGGTGAATGATGCAAGGACAAAAGTTTACAGTCAAGGATAATCGGAAAGATCAAGCTTACAAGTTGAGCACTGGATGCAGGCAGAAGCAGTCAAACTTGAGAGTAAAACAGGAACTAAATGGTCTCAGCCATACATTCATGAGCTAAGTTTTTATGCAAGCACTGTATTAATGTATGCTGATATCCAGAAATATCCTTCTCACATTCCTTTTTACCGATTGCTATTTTTTTTAATTACTGCGTATATGTATTTTTTTTTTCTTACAAAGGTCAACTTTTAAAGATTTCTACACTATCAACATTTGGATCACACTGGAATAATTTCAGCACCTGAAATTAAGAGGAAACACATTTAAGCATGTAAAACATCTTTCAAAGTCACCATCCTCTGTCACTCAGCTGGACGTGGTATACCAGAAGACCCGCCTGAATTTTGGCATCTGCATATCCTATTTCAAGAAGACAACCGTATGAGCAAAATATCCAGCTTACTTACAGCACTTGATAAAATGATAGTGAGACATCCTTCCATCTCAGACAGCAATCCTGCTACAGGTTCCAGCATTCTCTTCTGCTACAACTGCAGTCCCCAGGAAATGCATTATTTAGAGCCCTGACTCAGGTAACAGTTTACCTCAGGATGCATTATTGAACCGAGGCTCTGTTCCATGATCGTGCAAAAAGCTTCAAACTCATTCTCATTCAGCAGCTGGAGTTCAGCTAAGCCTCTCGGTGGAGTCGGAGCTACTGCTGCTGCACGTGCTCTTGTAGGTCGGCTGACTGACAGGGCTCCTGGTGCCACAGTCCCGGGAATAGTCCACTCTAATTGGTGCTCACATGCAGCCACATTCTGCCCACACAGAGGTGTGCTGCACTGCGGCTCTCCCGGTCCTGCCTGTTAATGGCTTTTCAACAGCTTTCAAATGGCAGCAAACTAGCTGATGAGTGGGCTGGAGGGAAGAAACCGAATGAGGGATCCTCAATCTTATTTGTGCACGCTGTCCACAAGCCAAATGTGACCAGATTCTTAGCCGGTGGCAGAGCTGATTATTTTTAGTTGCCACCAGTTGCTGTGTGTGAACAGAAAACGGAGAGCAGGACCTCAAAATGCCACCTCTTAGAATGAGAGAGGTCGTTTGATCCGCCTCTAGTAACGAAGAAATTACATTGCATGGCGCAGCCCATTTTTTTGGTTTTCTCTGCAGAATGTGAAACTTAAATTATCCCCAGAAAGCTTCTGGTTTGCATAGCTTTACAAATTTAGGAGTCTGCTACCTCTGCAGACTGCAATGGATTTCACTGTACAACCGGATGAAATAAGTCTGAGTGAATTGGAATCAGAAAGAAAGAAATCTATGGTCTTCGAGGGTTATTGCAATAAAAATAAATACCATGCCCCTCATGCAATAGCCGTGTGAGCCAAAGAAAAAGGTCATGTTTAAGTCACTTACAAATGCAAATTAATTGTTTTTGCAAACTGATGCTTTTTTATGATGATCTCTGCCAGTGAGTTGACACAGTCTAGAATCTGTGTTTTAGATTTTGGGGCATCAGAAAGACAAATATGAACAATATATTAAACATGTACGTCCTTCTGTGGTAGAAGCCTATGTCTGGGATTCCCTTACTGAGCAAAACTTGAAGAGCAGCACCTTTATTAAGCAGAGAGATTATAAAATTCAAACCTATGCAACAAAGGGTCATGACTTAAGTTTTCAATGAGAAATCATTCTAATCATTTTAGTAGTACGACGTAGAAGAACAAGTTCAAGGTTTGGTCAGAATGGCCTGAGTTCAAATCCAGATTCTACCATTTACAAGAGTATCAACTTGAACAAGTCATTTTACCTCCTAGAGCCTCAGTTCCCTCACCTACACATGGGAAGTACAATTCCTAACCCTAACAAGGTCAGGAAAACGCCTATCCAAATTCTAGTTCATGCTCTTGGTCTGCACTGAAAGGCTGTCATCAGTTTAACAAGGAAAAAACAGCTCTATGCTGAATGACTGCAATGCGTATTTTCACTTGTTTTCCCAAGAATCAGAATGAGGAGTTTCAGCTGTTTTCAGTAATATGTATTCTTCATTAATTCATTCATTCCACAATTAATTGTTGAAAGTCTGCGTTACACAAGTCACCATTCTAAGGGCTTTTCAGGAATAAAAATTGCCTTTATATACAAGGAATATACAGTCGACTATTAAGATTTCCTTATGTGTCAACTGTTTCCTAATAAGACTGGAAGAGACAACTATGTATGTCTGTTATCCAACCGAGAGCAAGGCTCTCTCACCTCATGACAAGTCTTCGTATACACATACTGTAATTATGAGTTTATGTGAATGTTGTCCAGTGTCTCTCTGGGGAAGGTGCTATCCATCTAGCTATCCCTATGCCCTCCTCTTTTAACACAAAGGTATGTTGTCTACATACCTTCCTTAAATATTTAAATTTCTTAGTTTTCTGCAAATTGCATGCCTCCCCATAATACTCAACTGAGCTCTATGACACCATTTACCCTTTGAAGGGAAAAAATTAACATATGCGACTCAGATAAAGCATGGTGTGCCCTTGGCAAAGACAATATGTTATTGATTTGGGCCCCAAACAGTCTGTTATTAACTAACTCACCTCCCCCCAGCCAACTTAAGAACTCTGAACAAAGTCCCTGTGAGCAGTAACACCTCTCCCCATAGTTCGGGGGCTCACTACCAAATGCGTTTATTAATCTCTGGTTCATTTATTCCACAGATATTTGGCAAGTCATCGTACACTGAGACCCACGGGAAGGCTGACTTCACCCCTCCCCTCAAAGTGCTTGTCGTTTGGAGAAATATTGACAGTCACGCAAGCCAGGGTAGGGTAGAGGGCGAGAAATTACAAGATGGGAAATGTACATCTCTGAAACAACCTAAAGGAGAAATGTCCAATCCACTTTAGAGTTGAAGGAGGCTATCCTAAGAGATGTATTCTACCTTTATTATAATACTTAGGGTGTGCTTTTATGCATGTATATACATACATATAATTCTCCCAGATTGAAAAGTTCTCTCATCTTTTTTTTTCCTCCGGAAACCACATACTTGTGCTCAAAACACTAGTAGAACTATGTTTGACCACAAAGACATACAGCTTTGTTTTTCCTCATTGTCAAACAAAAAATTTATGCAGGCATTAATACAGAGGGAAAATAATTTTGGCCCCATTAACTTTATTCCCTTTATAAAGTAGAAAAATGATAGTAATTTACAAGGGGTTAAAATTTCTTGATCTCTGCCCACCCCTAAGAAATTCAACTCAGTGTCAAGAGATCAGATTGATCATTTCAGGATTCTGTGAATCTGATATAGTAAATATAACATCAGAATTGGCGATGGTAGTAGTTAGGAAAGACTTAGATTGGATTAGCTGTATTCTTAGTAACCTATCTGTTTTACAGATTATGATCATTAAGACAAAATGTAATCATGCAAGGGTACATGGGTGGCACAGTCAGTTGGATGTCTGACTCTTGGTTTTGGCTCGGATCGTGATCTCAGAGTTGTGAGATCAAGCCCCACATCGGGCTCTGTGCTCAGCGTGGAATTGCCTTGGGATTCTCTCTCCCTCTGGCCCTTCTGCTCATGCTCACACTCTCTCTCTCTCTCATTCAAATAAATAAATCTTTAAAAAATGCAATCACGCATTAAAAGAAGTTATTTTTCACTACAACAAAACTTACACGCTCAGAAAGCACAAGTATTTTATTATTTTATTATCTTTCAGGATTACTACAATGACCAACTGCTGTCTTTGAATGTCACACATAACATTTCAAAAGCAATTTGGAACAATAAAGAAATTCCTTTCTCTCTTTTATACACCAAACAGTTGCTCACTATTCACACTATTTCTGATAAAAACACATGATTTCAAATGTTAGTATCATTATACACCAGATTTTTTTCAAATGATTTCCTGGCCAAAAAAAAAAAAAAATATGAACTGGTATGATTCTAGTGACAGGCGAGCACTTTACAATTATGCACTTGCTTATTATTAAATATTTTTTAAAGTGGGAGGGGTGTGATACACAGCTTCAGAATCGGTTTTCCAGTGAAAGCTCACAGGTGAAATACTACTCTCCTTAGACCTCTTTTTGGACGGATCTATTAGGCCAGTCTTTTCATAGATAACTTCTAAATCTAATAGTTCTGCACTTCTTTCATACTTTATTAAATGATGGAATTAAAATTCAAGTTTACAAACACCACTAGTTTCAGTAGGGTTCATATACACAGTAGATCACTATAAAAATTCCAAGTGAGGCTATAAATCACATGCACAATTTGTTTGTAATTCAAATTCAAGCTCTATGAAGTAGGCCTCTTTGCCTCTGCTCTGGGAATGGGCTGCTTATAAATACTGACTTTGATGAAAAAAAAAAATCACACATAGGTTTTGATCCACACTTAATCCCCCCAAATGGCTGGGAATTAAATTTATAGTATAATCTGCCACAATTACTGAATGCTTCTGGGTAGATGCAGCCACCATCTTGTCTCCTGGGAATAACACTCTGGTTTAGTCAGCTGAGGCCCTCTATGACTTACGGGGCCCTTTTCTGAAGACTGCAGAGAAAAAAAGATGTGAGTTGTCAAGAAGGAAGAGACTTCATTAAACTCAGTACCTGCTAGAAAATCAGCCTCACTGGTCATCCCACAGATGCCTCAGGACCAGGATCAAGCCTGCCTTGCCTGACCGATCAGACCCCTACCTCTCTAACCAGCTCCCTTTCCATAATCTGCCACTTGTTGGGACTGATCTTGATTTCAGCCAGTCTATTACATCATTGGCTATCAGATTCAGGCCTCCCCACTTTCAAACAGTCACACAGATCTCCTTCCAGAACCAGCGGCCATCTAACTTAGATGTAGGCAATCGTGGGGCCACAGAGGAAGGAATTTACAATATAGATCTGCACAGCTGGAAAGAAAGGAGAGGTCAACACGGACCACCCTTTCTGTGGCAGCAGAGCACTGAGGATGCTAACCCAGCTGAGCACTGTTTAGTGCCTAACTATGAGCATGTAATATAAGGGCGAGAAAATGCTCATCAGCCTCAGCACTAACATTTTCATAGAATAGTATTGTAAAGTAAAAAAAAAAAAAAAAATGCAATTTTAAAATTGCTCCACAAATGGAATGAAGATGCTCTTTATGTAATGCAACATAGAGTACTATAACATATGCATATATGTGCACTGATATGGATCTATATGCACACACATGCACGCACGCACACACACACACACACACACAGGCTATATGTGATGCTCTAGTTGTTTCATAAAGGCATCTGGTTACCCACATTCCCTTTGTGATTTTTTTCTCCTTAATCAAAATGAAATGCTTTGAATTCTAATATGAAGCAATTAAAGTAGCCATCAAAGAAAGGAAATTTGTAAACTTTTGCAAATGTATCCACCTGAACGTTAACACCATTTGGAAATCTCTCCAGCGTACTGGTTACAACTATCCAGAAGGACTTGCCCACTTTCAGTTATTGCTCCAACTCACCAAAATTTGACAATGAACACAGGGGTTTGCATATCTTAACTGTAAATGAGACATGGACTGTGCTGCACCTAGGTTTGTGTGCATGTGTGTGTGAATACACGGGTACGTGTAAGCAAATGAGTAAGTACTCTCTGCCTTGTTCTTCAACACATTTGTGGGGGTACATGGCTTTCTGTAAGTGGGGGGCAAACAAAAGGACTTTTTTCTTTTTTAAAGATGATTTATTTATTTGAGAGAGACAAAGAGCACGACCGGGGGGCGGAGGGGCAGAGGGAGAAGCAGACTCCCCGCTAAGCAGGGAGCCTGACACCGGGCTCTATCGCAGGACCCCGAGATCATGACCTGCGCCAAAGGCAGACGCTTAACTGACTGAGCCACCCAGGCGCCCCATACAAGCGGA